AGTCCTTCACAAATCGTCGGTAGTAATTCATAATTCCTAGAAACGATCTAATGTCTCTAACACATCTGGGCTTTTCCTACTGTTCGATCAACCTTTTTCGTTTGGGATCCACTCTAATTCCGCTTTTCTCTACTATGTACCCATACATATACAGCTCCTTGTATGCTAGATGGCATTTTTTAGCTGCAAAGGTAAGCCCCGCTTGTTTAAAGCGCTGTGCAAGTTCTACAAACTTGTCTATGTGATCCTTTAGCCGACCATTGGTCCAGAGACCTACATCATCCTGGTATGCGGCCGCAATGTCCTTCCATTCATTTCCGTCCAAGATCACGTCCATCAAACGTTGAAACGTTTCGCTCGCATTTTTTAATCCCATACACATAACCGTATAGCGCAAAACACCCAAGGGAGTCGAGACTGCTACCTTATCTCTATCCTCTTCTCTAATCTAGATTTGCCAATATCTCTTGTATGCATCAACACAAGAGTACCAGTCATGGCCTATGGCTTTTTCCAATATATCCCGAATCAAGGGCAATGGGTACCCATCTTTCACTATATATTTATTAAGGAACACATATCACCAACCACACGTAATTGATCAGTACCACTATCCTTCTTATTTACGGGAAAACAGTAATAAGCGTATTCCCCTATCCCTTTTCAAGCAATCCATTTTCAACATCTCACGTAATTGCTCCTCGAACAGCTGGGCTCTGGCTGGGTTATTGATCCTAATTGGACGAACTCTAGTCACTGGGACCTCTTTTCCTCCAGTTCTGACTTCGTATTCAATTAATTTTGTTTTGCCCATTTCAGCCAAGTCAAAAGCGAAGACTTCAGGAACCTTTTCTAACAAGCATTTTTCAAGGTACTCACGATCTTGGAATGGGATTTCCTTATTTACGTCAAGAACACTTATTCGGTCCTTGGTCAATCGCATGATTACCTCAGGTTTGTTTATGTCCACAAAGCCAGTTTCAGACTCATTCGCAGTATTCCAATATACTACTTGTACATAATGGGACTCTGGTAATCGTTCATCACTAACTGACTTACTTTCATGAACTTTCACTGTGTGTGCATTTTTAGCACTATTTAATACTTCGATACACGACCTGTCATAACAACCCTCAAGTTGAACCCGTCTTATCATCATAAAGTTTTGATCATCCTCATCGTCGAATTCTTCATATTCTTCGTTGTCCTCTTCATTATTCCACCTTTCCGGGGCAACTGAGGCGACAAAAGATACCTTTTTCAATTGGGAGGCGACCGAACACCAGAACTGGTTATTCTTCCACTTCAAGTTGCATTTGGCGGCAGCTATCCAGGGCATTCCCAGTAGTACATCAAAACTGGCTGTTTGCATCACGTAGAAATTTTGCACCACCATTACTCCATCAACATCTACCTTGATATTAGGTATGTAACCAACGAAGTTACTAACCCTATCGTCGGCCATCCGACCCCTTCCTTTAGCCGATTTCTATACAAGACCCCTTCTGTTAGCGTAACTGATATGCATAAGGTTTAAACGGGACCCTGGGTCAATTGGCACATCGATCAACTCATCATTTATCCTAATAGTCCCCGTTGGGACGTCGGCCACTTGTTTATTAGTATTTATTTGAACAGCCCTTACAATACTGACATTAGTGTCCAATGATGCAATATCAACTTCCCTTTTTTTTCTTGTTAGAGCCTTTAATATTTCCACACGCACCTTCGGTGACCATTTGAAAAGCTGGCCTAAAGTTACCGTTATCTCAAGTTCAGCGACCTTTCTCAAGACGTCGAGT